ATGGCAGCGCTAGAGCCCATATAGCCAGAATTGTCACTAACTTCCTCGCCGCCAACAACGTCAACGTCCTGCCGTGGCCTGCACGCTCACCCGACATGACCCCCATAGAACACCTCTGGGACTTGATGGATCGTCGTGTTCGACAACGACCACACTCTCCAGCCAACCGGCAAGAACTGATCTTGGCCCTCCAAGAAGAATGGCGTCAAATCCCACGTGACCTCATCAGACGACTGACCTTTTTCTGTGCATCGAAGAGTTTTTGCGTGTATTGAGGCATTTGGTGGTCACACACGCTACTAATGACTTGTTATTGAACGTGAGCGATTGTTTATGTACTCTGCCTATTGTCCATTATTCTGAAAGCTCGAGTTTTGTACCACACCCAACTTTGGGGGGCTCTGACGTCATTCTCGGTCGCGGTATGATTGTCATTTTCAGTGTTGATTATGTTGATAATATTATATTGATCTTCTCAATACACTTTACTTCATGCATGTATGTTTTGTTGTTTCTAACCAAGTGTGATTTTAAACTCTGGTAAAGTTTCTTTTGGACGTCAGTTTAGTCAACCAAGGGATAGACATATTTGATATTATTTACGCAGTTTGAATGTACACTGTAGCATTTACCACCCGGATACCTTGCTGTTGATAGCGAACTGGGCCCCTTTCCTCAAAGCTATCTTAGCGCTACGATGATCGTAAACATATGTTAGAGTATGGAACTTACGATCACCTTAGTGCTAAGATCGCTTTGTGGAACGGGGCTCAGGTCGTCAGCAACCCATGCTTGTCGTAAGAGGCCACTAACGGGACCGGGTCGCAGGCTCGCTGACTTGGTTGATGCTTGTCATCGTATCCCAATTGCGTGGATCTATGCTCATGATGCCAATCACTGGATAAGTCCAGACTCAATTATTTACAGACCGCCGTCATATAGCTGGAATATGGCTGAGTGCGGCGATAAGCAACAAACAAACGTACATAAGGCAACCCTTTTCACTGACAGGGAACTCACAGGTGCGATAGGTCATGCTGATTGTGAGTACAGCAGATCAATGTGACAACGGACACGGATATAGTGTACTATTGCGGTTATAATATAGTGGTTTTACTGAGTAAAAAAAATTAAACGCTAGGTGTTACCTTCCCTATGACCGGATTGTCCGGTATTTAATTAAGCATACTTCCATATCAGGTGGCTCGCAAAGTATAAAGTTTTAATTTTAGTCATGGCAAAACATGGTTATAATACACACGGATATAGCGTTACGGTACTATAAGGCGGTTATAATCAACACGGATATACTAAAAGTAGTATACTATGGCGGTTAAAATCAACACGGATATAGCGTGTTTTGGCGGTTATAATAAACGTTGATATAGACTAAGTGCAATGTGGCGGTTATAATGGCCACAGATATAGCGTACTAAGGCGGTTATTATAAACACGGATATAGTGCAATATGGCGGTAATAATGGCCACGGATATAGTGCAATATGGCGGTTATAATGGCCACGGATATAGCGTACTAAGGCAGTTATTATAAACACGGATATAGTGCAATATGGCGGTTATAATGGCCACGGATAAAGTGCAATATGGCGGTTATAATGGCCACGGATATAGCGTACTAAGGCGGTTATTATAAACACGGATATAGTGCAATTTGGCGGTTATAATGGCCACGAATATAGTGCAATTTGGCGGTTATAATGGCCACGGATATAGTGCAATATGGCGGTTATAATGGCCACGGATATAGTGCAATATGGCGGTTATAATGGCAACGGATATAGCTTACAATGGCGGTTATAATGACCACGAATATAGCGTACAATGGCGGTTATAATGGCCACGGATATAGCGTACAATGGCGGTTATAATGGCCACGGATATAGCGTACAATGGCGGTTATAATGGCCACGGATATAGTGCAATATGGCGGTTATAATGGCCACGGATATAGCGTACAATGGCGGTTATAATGGCCACGGATATAGCGTACAATGGCGGTTATAATGACCACGAATATAGCGTACAATGGCTGTTATGATGGTCACGGATATAGCGTACAATGGCGGTTATAATAAACGCGGATATAGTGCAATAAGGCGGTTATATGAGAGATTTGGAGACGCCTTCAGGCTGCAAGGCAACCACATACACTCCGGAATCTTGAAGCCTTTTTGGTGCGGGAATGGAACGGGATTCCTCAAGCCTTCTTCCAAAACTTGTCGACTCAATGAGGCGGCGATGTGCAGCCTGTTGCGCAGCTAACTGACGCCACACACACTGTTCATGGACTTGTCACTTTTGTGTCTGGGGGAGTACCCTGTTTTCGGGGGAGTTTTCATTAAACACGGATGGTTGTCGACCAAAACGCCACCGCCTATTTGTTATCAAATGTTTTCTCTGTTATCATTTCTTAATATTATCTACATATCTTTATGCTCTTAACGTTAACCGCATTTTATGTACGACTTGCGTTTCTTTTGCGGTTGTGTATATTTGGAGTATATGCTGTACATCAAATGTTCCGCCTTTTGTAATGGAATGATCTTGGTGTAGGCAAATTGACCGTATTTCCATATTTCAAATATTGGCGAATAAGATTATCGGTTAAGTAAACTATTAAAAAGAAATAACTACATGTCCATACGTAAACTTTATGTCAGTATGTGACATTAAGTGTCGGACACAGCTGCAGTTGGTCATGTAGTTTCTTGCATAGTGTTAACATCGCAGAGAGACGCCGCTTTCTCATGAGTCAGGTTGAGGCGAAAGGGAAGCCCAAAGTGATGAAGGGATTGGAGACGAGCACGTGTTTGGAGCTGAGAAACCATGCATCGTAATCAGTGTGAATCTAGGATTCGAACTACAGGAATCAGGCATGCCTAAGCGACGTAACTTTCCTTTTTCGTATGAGGAGACGTTATTGACCGGGTGGTCAGGTTGATGGCGTGTCATTGTACCCCGACGGCATGGATCGTAGCTCATTATTTTAATTAATGGATTGTCTGATCCCGACTCGATTATTTACAGGCCGCCGTCATAAAGCTGGAATATTGAACATTGCTGCTTTAGACAAACAAACAAGCATTCCAAAGCGAATTGCGGCGACACAATATCAAAACGTATACCTTTAGGTAGTGGATTGTCACCAGCATGCCAGATGTGTCGAGAGTTGAACGCCGATGAATCTTTATTTTAGTGAGTAGGTTATCACGCCGCTTTCAACAGGAGAGGGACACCATGGGCTACCTATACATTGTACCCATTATGAAAATCGAACCCGGGCATGACGAGCCAGCGCTTAAACAACTAAGCCCCCCACCGCTCTGAAAGTGTTTGAATGGTGAGTTAGTGAGTTTGGTTGAAGCCGCTTTGAACAGTTTTTCAGCTATACATTATTTTAGCTTAATGTGAAAGGAAAGCCCGAACTGACGCAGGTCTTCGACGTTGAAAGTCCGTGAAGCAGTTACGCTTGTAATAATCCACATTGACACGAGGAGCTATTTGAACAAAGACACACCAGCTGGTACGTTTATATAGGATTTCAACATCATTGACTAGTTGCCGTCCAGATGTCACATTGTAAGTGGGTCCCGGGAGACCTTTAGTCAATATCAGTCAATAACATGACATTTGGTTGTTCTGTTATTATATGGGATGACAGACGCCGAGATTCCAATAAGTGGTATGTTTGTCGTTGACTGCAATAACATGCAAAAAATTAATGATTTAATGACTAACGGCTGTTGCACTTCTCAAGGACATGCAACAGAAATGCAGTTTGTCTTATTCTGTGTGCTCTTGATAGCCGCGTACTAGCGGTTGATATCATGAGTAACTCCGTTTGGTCACCATGGCAAACAGATTACACATTGTAACCACCCGATCCTCGTTTTAGTCGGATCTTACGAGAAGCATAGGATGGCCGAATCCTTTTTGGCCCGGAAGTCTCCGGTGGTTTCTAATCCAACAGCAACCCCTTGGGGAGTCCGTGTTGGAATATTTCCACAGCAAGCCCCTTGGTGATTCCGTGTTGGAATATTTCCACAGCAAGCCCCGTGGTGATTCCGTGTTGGAATATTTCCACAGCAAGCCCCGTGGTGATTCCGTGTTGGAATATTTCCACAGCAAGCCCCGTGGTGATTCCGTGTTGGAATATTTCCACAGCAAGTCCCGTGGTGATTCCGTGTTGGAATATTTCCACAGCAAGCCACGCATGTTGTAAGAGGCGACAACATGGATCTGGTGGTCAAACTCAGCGGCTGGGTTGATTGCGTGTCATCGTACCCCGACGGCGTGGGTAGTTGCTCATAAAACACATGACTGGTTTCTCTGATCCAGACTCCAGGCACAACACCTGGCTGTCGAGCAGGGATATGAGCTTCAGACGATTTCCAACCGAAAGTTTGCAGCAGGTTGAATCGCCGTTTGAGCTCGCTTTCAGAGCGCCTTGGTTTTGGATCTTGTCGCTGACGCCCTGAACGAGGTCGATCGTCAAATGTTGGGTTTGTTGTACCTGTTCCAAAGTCTGCAAATCACAGACTGTGAAACATTGAACACATTGGCCATTGACTTCTGCCAGTTTCCAGCATGTCAATAGCCAGTTGACGCTCAACGCGTTGCAAACGCAGCATCGCTAGTTCATACACAAACAATGAATGAAATCAAGTAAATCACATCTATATGACAAGCAGAATCAGTAAGACTGACAGAAACAATGGTCCACAGATATTAATCGACCTTCCTTGAAAGTGTCAATATCAGGAATGACACAAAACGCACGTGAGTGGCGATACTGCATGCGGCACGTGCAAACTATCGGATGTGTTTTGGTGTTATGTTTGGCAAAGGATGTTTGTCGTCAACATGTACCTTTGTTCCAATACTTGGTATTAACAAATATAGTTCATGATCCCCTACTTTTTTCAAAGAGTATATCTAAAACGATATAGCATGACCACCATTGTTTCGATACCCTCTGATGTTTATTACATAATAAAAAGAACCAAGTCAATATCTCAAATCTGCTCGCCCGAAAATATCCGCGGGTTCAGGGTCATATCCGAATAATTCAAAATCCAATTTGAACATCCTTTGAATTCCCTCAAGGACGTCAATGTGTACATCTTTATAAGCCTGCAGCTTCATCGACGTCCTTTGCATCGCCATCACATTCGACGTTCTATTTGCCGCCTTAAAAACTCGCCACACATACTCAAAAAATACGTCTCCCCTCTTTAAAGTCTCACCTGTTAAAGTCAATTCGGCAGTGGCTGGTATATACCCATTGATTTTAAACGCCTTCCATAGTCTTCCTGCTAAATCGCTATATGATACGCAGGATGACAGATAGCGTTGCATCTTGTAGTTGAACTGTATTAACATTGCTATTTCTTCCCTTATTCGTGATTCATGATTGTGTACATCCGAGACCCAAGATATTCCCAGTTTTCCGAGGATATATCGACTGTCAGCACCCATTGTCTCCAGCTTGCCTATAAAATGTGGCTTCAATTGACACGGGTTGCATCCGTAATGAAGTGGTCGGTAATGATCATCCAATTTCGCAGCGTTTTCGGTTCCATAATTTGCAATATACCCTAGAAATTCCGGAAACGAAATAGGATCGCACAACTTCCTCGCTGTACCATCTTTTCTCAACCTTTTTATTTCAGAACCGTATGTCCTCCAAAAAAAGTTATCTGGAAGTATAAACTTATCAATAAATACTGACCAAAGCCGAGAATACGGTTCACGAGCAAACATAAAACGGAAAGTGTTCATTATGGCACTTTCTGTCGCTGAATTCAGTGTAATCTCCTTGATGTATTTGTATTTCAGCAAATGAGTGTCATATTTGCTTATTTCAAAGGGACTTTTGACATGTCCTGTAGCAGTGTCGTTGTAGAGATATCTGAAGATTCTGACCCAGTACGTTGAGGCTACCTTATGTGTGATGCAGTAGGAGATATTGTCATACTGAATTATTCGGTCTACAGAACCAATGACGTCATCAGAACATGCGCTCTCAATTTGATGCCGTCGCAAGTCCTGCAGATGTTGCGCGTCCCGTTCCATATCATGTTCAATTTGTCGAGTTGCCGTCGTGGGTGTGACAGTAGGTTCGGGTGTCGTCGTGTGATTTTGCCACACGTGAAGTGGCTTTTTCATCAGGATGTTTTTCTGAAATGAGAGATCGTGGTTTGAAGACATCTTCAACGTACTAAATATATAATTATTTTTATGATATAATGATTTTTTAAAATCTTTTGTGACTGAGTGAGTGAATGTTATTTAACGACCAAGTCAGCAACATCGTGGCCTGTAACATATTCAAATCTGGACCAGGGAAACCATCGACTGAAGCACGAACAACGATTCACACCTTCGGTGTACCATGAGTTAGTGAGTTAGTGACCCGTGAAGATCCCGGGCTGAGATAGGTCTTCAGCAACCCATGCTTGCCGTAAGAGGCGACTAACGGGATCAGGTGCTCAGACTCGCCAATTGCGTGGATCGATGTTCATGATGTAAGTCACTGGATTGTCTGGTTCAGACTCGATTATTTACAGACCGCCGTCATATAGCTGGAATATTGCTGAGTGCGGCGTAAAACAACAAACCAAAACCAAAAAAAAGTGAGCTAGGTGTAACACCGCTTTGAACAGAATTGCAGATGAGTTATATAACGGTGTGTCAGCTTAATGTGGGGGGAAAGCCCGAAGTGATTCATGATCAGGTCTCAGACGTTTACCACTTTGGTGAAAACCGCGAGCGAACTGGTATTCGAACCAACGATCATGGGTTTCTGGCGTGCCCAAGGGACGTAACTCTGCACAGCAAATTGCGGCGCCTTAGACAACTAGGCCTCCCGTGCCCACCGGTGTAAAATGACACACACTCAAGCAAGCCCGGACACCCAATCCCCAAGTCAGACACCTCTGACGTCAGGCATGAGGAACTGTGGATCTATTCTCACCCGGAATTCCAATATCTTTAGACGTTTTCATATGACGTGATGATGATGTTTAACACACTTTCATGTAAGTACAAATCATTGCACGATGGAAACTGTACAATGATTCATATTTGTTCTTGATTGTTTATGTTGTGTCTGCTGTCCGTCCAATTTGATTTCGAACGTTTTTCCAAATGAATTACATTGTATCAGACATATTTTCACTTTTATGTTCAAGTTATAAGAAAATGAAATTAGAATATAATTATTTATGAAATCTTTAATATCCTCCACCACTTGTGCGCCGTAATCTGAAAAGGCTTAGATCACATTTTTAGTGTGTTTGTTATGTCTACGAGTTGAATATGGACGGGAAACAGCTGCCACTACAAACACGTAAACGTCGTGTGTTTTTTCAAATATGGTCTTTCGACACTTTCTAACCATTGATTTTCCGTCCAAATAACGTCGTTTTTTGACATTGGAATTTACTGCCAGAGAACCTTGTAATCAAGTTCCTCCCTTTCTTGGTTGACATTGTCAATCAAGAAACAGCGGTAGCGGTATTTTTATTTCTCAGCTTCCATTGGTCAGCTCTCGTGTGACAGATTACAGGCTGGAGTCGCTCGTGGTTGTTACAGGAACTGCTGAATTCTACCGTTCTGCACATGCAGTTTGTTTAATACCTTGCCCTAATTTGCCGTTCTGTGCGTGCGCGATTTCGCGGATTGTTTCCAGCAGGTACTTGATGTGACACGTTGCTTGCAGCTGTCACGCGCTTTACTCATTAAATAACGTGTTGGTAACGTTGAGACTTTCAGTCAAAATAATTAGGAAAGGGCAAAGCTAAGCAACGGCTAAAGTATAGACACTGATATTACTTTCGCAGTCGAATATAACCAACAAATAGGCAAACCAATATGAAACTGAAACTGAATAATTTGCCGGTGTCACGAAATATATTCGCCCCCAGAATAAAATCTCCCCCCGGCGAATATATACCGGTACAGTTCCGCCCCTCTCGAAATAAACTCTCCCCCAACCTACGAAATAAAATCCCCCCCCCCCCCCAAGAATATTTCCTCCCTCGGTCGTTTTATAAATACTTGCCATGCAGTTCAATAGTTTGTGTGTTAATTTGTTTATGTATTTTTTTATTCATTTTTTCCTCGCCTTTATTTTTTCTGGGTTATAAATTTATCTAAATATACATTATTAGATTTAGTTACTTGTGTGTGGGGGGGTGGGGGGTGGGGTTGGGGGTGGGGGTATTTGTTGATTTTTAATTTTTATTGATTTTCGGGTGTGGAAGGGGGGTGGGGTGGGGTGGGGGTCCCACCTTTCCTTTCGTTTTTCATAATAATATATTTTTAAGTTGTATATAACGTATGAATCCCTTCTCAGATCACTTTATCTCATTTCTATATGACGTACTATTTTACTTCTCTGTGTTGTTCTTGTTTTCTCTTCAGTATGACGTTATACTGTAGTATCATTTTTACTATTTTGATATTTTGCAATATGTTGTGGTCATCAGTTATGCAAATCAGATTCGGTGATTCTTTTTAACAAGATGTTCTTCATTAATATTCACCGCCAGCCCCATTGTAACAATTACATGTACACTTTGCTTTGACGATGCCTGTTCAATACAGATATGTTTTTGAATTTGAATTTTTGAAGATGATACACATTTCTCTATATTTTGGGTTACTTTGCTTATAAAGATTATACATATAAACTTACGCAGTCTTAGTAGATTTTAAAGTAGATTTAATCAGTGCTGAATAAGATAGTTATGATGTTGTATGTTTAACAGAAACCTGGTTGCACCATGATATTCTAGCCACTGGTATTACACTGATACCATTTTCAAATCGTAGCCTGTATTAAGGAATATATTTTAGATCTTAAATCAGAGTATAACGCGTACGGCGTGGATAGGTTGACAGATTTTACGTAGTTAGTGTTAAAACCGAATGTTTGCGAGGATTAATAAGATTTCTGAATTCAGTTACAACAGTAGTTCCGGTGTCACGAAATATATTCGCCCCCAGAATACCCCCCACACCCCCCTCACTATGGAATCTTGGAAGGGACATTGTCGCGTTGTCGTATTGACGCATTGACGCCCTTACAAAAACAAGCAAAACGTGTTGAAATTAACCAAAGCGCGACAATTCGACAACGCGATATTTTGGCCATTTGTCGCATTGTCGCGTTGTCGCATTGTCGCTCTTTGAATAATCTTTTTCTATATTTTACAAAAGGGCGACAATGCCGTAACGCGACATTTTTCAATGTCAAAATATGTCTCGTTGTCGCATTGTCGCCCCATCACAAATATGTATAAAAGGCGTAAAGTTCAGTTAATGTTACAGTTAGGAAGCGGTAACCAAGTTATATCTGTCGTAGAAGTTCAACTTGATACATGTACGTCTTGAATTGAAAACACAAGTCCGTCCGCGAGTCCATAACGTTTTATGGTGAGCTCTTCTCTATAAGTGCTTAGTGTTCAACTCCCAGTTTCAAACACGTTGTACCTCATCAACAATCCACATTCCTCTAGTGCAGTGATAGTCCGGAAGATTATTACTCTTGACCGTATCAGACAACTGACGAGTGCACGCCTGACCTGTGACCTCATTACACCCCCCATGAGGTGTTTGCAGAAGGGAGAGGGGCAGGAAATGTGTGCTCCAGCCCAGCGCGGAGCTCGCGACACACTGTATACTGCATGTTGTATACAGTATATTGCAGTTGATATACTGTATACTGCATGTGATACTGATTTGCGGAAAAGCTGCAACTTTCAAGATTCAAGATTAAATTTGCATTTATTTCATATACAACAGACCGCCGTCATATATCACTGGAATGCTGCTGAGAGCGGCGTTAAAACAACTTGTTTTCATAATGGAGTGCTGCAGTCATTTTAAATGGAACCGTATACATGTGTTGTACCAACTCAATCACTCTGTTTCGAATATTCAGCAGCAAAAATATATTATAACCAGCTGTGAGGAGAGATATAAGATTTTTATAAGCAGTCAAATATGGATGATAAAGGACCCCTCACTGATTAGGTTCTTGTTTACTTAAGAGCAGAGTTGGCCATGTTAGATGATATAACGGTGTCCTCCCAGATCGCCTAATTTCTCCCCACAAGGTACCAAAATACAATTACGTGATGTGGGTATGCCATGCCTGGATGAGATTTATAATTAGGTAATGTGGGTAGTTGGAACAGTCCACTTTACTGAATGAAGGGATGACAAGACAGCCAGAGATACATAGTTTTACATATTTTAATCAACAATATATTATAACAAGTAGCCTCTATCAAAAACTATGGGTCTCTGTGTCTCTTGTTGAATTAGCATTAGATAAGGTTGAGAAATAATTTGGAAAGTGTGTCGCCATCACAAATCGTCAATCACCCACTGACTCATAGCCCCGACAGCTGAGTGTCCTGCTATTTTTTACAAATTAAACTACCAGCGGCGGTATTTATTTAAACATATTTTATTTCGGAAAACCAAATCGATTAGGCACAAGTGACACACTTACGAGGCCTTCTCCTATTACATTGTAGCTCCAGTGTCTGCTTCAACCAACTCACTAACCGTGTTATTGATGATGAGGAAGAAACCTAAACTGATTGTATGTATGTGAAGAAAACCTTGAGCCAATATTCATTTTTGAAAGTTCAGAATAATCAATTATCCTTAAAAAGAATGCCGTGCTTGTTGACTTTATAATGTTTCGACAGACATTTTGCCAGTTATCTTGCTTTTTTAAGAATCAAATTATGTTTTAAATGATACCAGTTCATTTAGAATACCATATTCTAATTAGTTGAAAGCAAAATATTAGTGATTTGCTCCAAAAGTGGTATCATATTCCATACTGTTAGCAAGGAAGCGATATTTTCATGTTTTGGCGGCCATCTTGTCGGCCATCTTGAATATTTCAAAATGCCCAAAGATGACAGAGTGTCATCAGTCAGTTTCATAATCTAGAGTACATCATTAAACAAATCCAGCAATAAAAAAAACTTTATCCCCTAATTCTGGGTTGGGGGAAAATATTGGAGGACAAAATCCAAGAATTGGGGGATAAAGTTTTTTTTATTGCTGGAATTGTTTAAGTACAAATTCTAGGTTATGAAATTGACTGATGAGTGTCCAATATTTTCCCCCAACCCAGAATTAGGGGATAAAGT